TATTTTTTATTTTTTGTCAAAAATTTTGTTTGTTGAAATTCCCAATTGATTTAAAAACCCATAACATACCAAGATCGAAAAGATATAATAAATAAGAGCCAATAAGCGAATAATCGAAACGTGGGCTCTCTTTCCATTTCGCCAGTCAGCCACCAACTTTATTTTACTTGAACTACTACATACAAGAAAAAAGTACCACGTTCTTTATTCATCTTTTCGTGTTTTCGTTTATTTGAATTATGTTATTTTTTCTAAAGAAACTTTACATTTATGTCGATGGTTATGAATAACTTGTTCGTTTTATGTCTTTATAATTAGCCACTAGCACTAGAGTGTCCGATATTATTTTTAGAATGACGGAAAAATGATAATTCTTTCGAAAATGACAATGGATAAAATTTTTTTTATCAAATGTTTTTTTTGTATTGATATATATTCATGCAATTCATCATTATTATTTAATAAATCGTCAATTCGGAAAAGAAATCAGTCAAAGACCAATAACCTAATCATGCTGGTGGAGAAAACATCTAAAGATGCAATGTAATTTATTTTATTTTAGACAGATAAAAGTTGTATTCTCCATATCGCTATCTTCGTCAAAAAACTTTTCAAAAAATATTATTAAAGAGACACATAATAATCACATCTATTGATTTAAGATGCAAAAAATGAGGTAAAACCCCAAATACAATAATACAATATAACCAAATTAATCAATCTAAGCAAATGAGGCTGACATCATAAATATAAATAAATAAATAAATTGTTTTTTCTCTTGAAAAAAATTTTCAAAAAAAAAATTTCCTATAAAAATTAAAAATGTTGGCTGAAGGTACTCTTTGTACTGTAGGAAGTGTCTTTTCTATAATCATTGTAATTATTATTATTATTATTATTATTATTATTATTATTATTATTATTATTATTATTATTATTATTATTATTATTACTATTATGAATAGAAGCGATTTACTAATGACAAATTAATATATAAAAATGTATTTTAGTTTATCATTGATTTAATCGTTGTTTTAGAAGTTATTAAAAGTGATCGTACATTTGGTGGTAAACTCTTATGGGCATTATTAATCTTTTTGTTTCCGGTATTCGGTTTAATTATTTATTGGTAAGTTTTGTCTTTAACAATAATGGTCTCCTTATAGTAATAGTAATGGTAATGACATAATATCCTCATTATTACCAATTATTAGGTTCTTCTCTGATCGTAAAGAACATCAAACACATATTACGTATGAATCGATTCCTTGAAGAAGAATAAAGAAGATTATGAAGAAAACTACATGATGATAATTATTATTTAGCTAATGTTCTTTTGTAAAACATTTTTAATAAAACTAGCTTTATATATAGTATTCCAGTCTTACGTTACACTAGCGTCCATAATAATATATTATAAGAATGAAAAAATATTTTTCTAAATTTTCTCAAAACAAAAATAATGACCGAATTCCTTCTACTCATTCCATGCATTTTACTTGTATGTATAACAATAATTGATCATTTACAAATTGAAGAATTATATAACTAACTAACTATAAAATTATGAATTGTGAATTGTGCAAAACAGGTGGTTATTGAATTATTAGTTATCGCTGAGATTTTACAAAGCGATAAATCATCAACTTCAAAGTATCTGCTGGTTGCCTTTATTGTTGTTCTCCCAGGAGTATCGTTAATTCTTATTTATATGTAAATGGAATACTATTACTATTACTATTAATAATAAAAAGAAGTTGATGATTCTATTATTATTATTATTATTATTATTATTATTATTATTATTATTATTATTATTATTATTATTATTATTAATATACTATTTATTATTTTGATTTTAGCATGAATTTTCTAATTAGTGATACCGATAATAACAGCAACAGAAACAGCAACAGGAACAGGAACAATCAATATGGTTCACTTGGTTGAATTTGTAAATTATCATCTAATTTATAATTTATTTAGCCAATTCTTTCTACAAGTTTTGCGGATGATTTGTGAATTTATTCTACTTTAATTTAACCTTATGTTTGAAGAGAAGAACACAAGAATTTATTATCAATTCATTCATTCATTTTCATTTTCACAATTAAAATTATATATATTTCAATCAAATAATAATCCTTGGCAATAAACTCTTTTAATATTTAACAAAATCCTTACTTTTACCAGTGAATTTTCATAAACTTATATATAAAATCAATTTTAATTTGGCAGAAATTAAGTAAGCCAGTTAGTGAAAAGAAGTAATGGGAAATGCTGAAAATTGTGGGAGGATTTAAACAAAAAGAGTCTGATTTTTATTTAACAAAATAGTAATTGAAATTCATGGATTACCTGAAGATAAAGTAATTTCTGCGGTGATGATGGGTTAACAAGGAAAAGAATAAAAAAATAGCGAGTCAAGGTAATGAAGACGAAGAATACGAAGAAGGCAATACTCATAATGGTTTGGGTATTATTTTCTTCCCTGCAATTGCTCTGATGGTTACTTTAATATGTATGTATCTTATCTTGTATTAGTGTTAAATCAAAATAAAAGCTAATTTCTCTTGTTTCTTTCCTTGTATGCAGTCTCCATATATTTTTATATGGCACATTTAAATATGAATTGAGCACATATTTTCCTTTCCCTGTTAGAACAAGGTTCATCACCTTGTCATCCAAGTGTAGTGGTCAATCTACTTCCAAATTGTATATATACAATTGCAAGTTGTAGCACATTATCGGATTTAATATGATCCTCCTCTACTAACATGAAAGCGTAAATTCGTTACTATAAGGTTTCTCTCTACAATTGAAAAGCTTTGGAACAGGCTAGAGGCTTTAAAATCTTTATGGAAACAATTTCAAGTTCCTCGCGAACGGGTTTACAAGCTAGATAAATTATCGACAACACTTACTTATTTGGCTTGTGGGCCAGCCTGCAAGCATATTAGGTTTTGTTTTGTGAACTGGCTCATGCGGAACTTTAATTTCGATAGTAATAGGCTTTAGGATCATGCATCCCTGAAATTTTAATTGCGCCAGGTCAGATTAACCTTTGAAGAAGGATAAATATTTGAATCCTGAAGTAAGTTTCAAATCTGTGAACTTCCAAGAATCAAAAGTTGCATATTATATATTGAGCATTTTTTTTGTGTTTAAGAGCATTTTTTTCCATTTTCAATAGTTATGTTGCCTTTACCATTGATATTTCTTTCCCGAGTTTTTAATATAACTAATTATTATTATTTAATATTAACACCAATCATTTCAATTGTTTATTATAAATAAAAGCTTTATGAATGCGAACATAATAATTTCATATTTTGGTGTAAATTATATATAAACAAAATAGATGTTATCAATATAAGGCATCTAGTCATAAATAATATACACCTGTTTTTACTGATTGCGCAAAACTACACATAATAACTATACATAAAATTTATATCATTTGCGGCCTAGGTTTTGACGAACATGTATACAGATTTTCATAATTTTAACACATCTAAAACTCCAGTAAATAAAACAAAAACAAATACTAATCTCGATTAAAAAATTGATTTCTCAAAAATCCACATAATAAAAATACAAAACTATATGATCTTAAAGTTCATGTACCAAGGAATGTATATATTGAAATTCATACTTCTAGCATGCCTATATAACTACTTGATCTACATTTTTCACCATCTTTTTTTACAAAAATTCCGATTTGACTGAACTTGAACGAGGAAAAATATTAGGTCTTCATATGAGTGGTAAAAGTATTAGAGCAATCTACAAATGCCTTAAAATACCCAAAAGTACAGTCCATAATCAAATTACGCGTTATAAAAATTCAGATGATGTTAAAAGTGCTCTACGACCTGGCAGACCAAAAAGTTTAGATGATGATGACAAAAAAAATTTAAAAGAAATTACAAAAAATAATAATTTTAATTCTGCAGAAGAGATCAAAATGAAATTTACTGAAGTTAGTGGCAAAGAGATTAGCACAAGAACTGTTCGTAGAAGTTTGCATGAACTTGGGATTTTTTCGAGGGCTGCTGATGTTAAACCACTTCCAACACAAAATGATGTTTAGAAAGAAGGTCTTGGACAGTAGAAGACTGGAGCAAAGTGATTTGGAGTGACGAATCACGCTTTACAATCTTCAGAAGTGATGGACCAAGACATGTTTGACGTACTGATGGTCAACGTTACAATATTGAAAATATTGTCCCTTCAGTTAAACATGGTGGTGGTGGCATAATGGTTTGGGGATGTTTTTCTGGAAGGGGATTAGGTCCATTAGTAAAAGTGGAGGGTAAAATGAATCGTTTAGACTATATACAAATTCTAGAAAAAAATTTGTTACCATTGATTAGAAGAAAATTTCGTGGCGGAGATTATGCATTTCAAGATGATAATGCACCAGTGCATACTGCAAAAGATGTACAAAAATGGATTGGAAAGAAAAAAATAAAAATGTTGTCTGGTTGGCCTTCTCAATCCCCAGATTGAACATCTGTGGGATGAACTGGTATCTTCTTCAGAACCATATCAAGTAAATAACTCCAAAAAAAAAAATAATAATAATTTAAAAAAGATTTAATTGACGTTTATAATTAATCAAATTCCCATTCGACTCTCTCATATTGAAGGAAAAAGGCTTTACTTAGTGGGGTGCTGTAGACGGATCGTTAACTAAGAGTTTTAAATTAAAGATTAATTTTGACTCTATCATTTCTAAAGGAATGCAGTAATCATTCAAAATATTGAACTTTATGTACAATTAAACCTTTTAGATTTCTAAAAGGATTCATGAGGTTACCATCCATTGTTTTATTATTAATAAAGTCTACTACGTCATTCGTAATCTAATTTTTTTAAAAAGATATGCCAAGACAACTAATAAAGGTGACGATGATGGCGATGAAGAAAGAGATGTGGAAGCAATTTCTTGTTCAAAAATTTCAAATCAGTAATAATAGTATATGGTTCGAATTCTCATGAACCATTTACTTATTGCTCATATCACATCAACTCAAGAAGGCGATATAAGTGAATCTCATGATGGCCAATCAAGAAAAAACAATTTTGTTGAGGTATAATTATTGAACCTTGTACTTTGGGTCCATCAAGACTCTCAGGCGATGTCAAAGATGTGACACTCTATGAAAGTTGAGATAAAGCAATTGTTTCAGATTAATTTTAGCATACAAATATTTCAGTTTTATCAAAAGATCTCGAAATGACCCCTATTTTATTATGAATTTTTGACCAAGTCATTTGAAAAGTCACGTAATTTGCCAATATTGATATCTTTGGAAATGTTTAGATTTTAGATTTTATGCAAACAATAAATATTGATAGGACCATATTGTGAAAAAAGCAATTTTGAGTTAGTATCACTATTATATGTAATTCCTCATGTAGATCATTTTTGGCTTAGAAACCATACCCACTTTGCTTAATAAAACTTTGAGATACCCTCCATTAAAGTTTTAAAAACAATAGTAAATTACTTGAAATGCAGATCTTTTTTCTAAATTTTCTCAAAACATCATTTTCACAACATGGTCCGTTTCTATTGTCCAGACCCCAAATGCCGCGATAATTTTAATATAAATTTTATATGTGTGAAGAATAAAGTGGTCCTGATGGATATGAAAAGGCAATTGGTTTTTAAAAAGCAGGTTGCAGTTTTGATTGCTTAGCCAAAGTTCATAAAGGACCTTTACTGCTGGGATTACACCATTTGTCAAAAAAATGCTAGAAATAGGCAGGAGTTACTTTGAAAATATAATAAATAATGGTCTTATATCAAGATTTCATGGTAATACCAAAGTGAAAAGTTAACATGATATTTTCTTTTAAATTGCCAAGTCAGAAGGAAGGTGTCGATAGAATAACTCAATCACTTATATTCTTACCAGAAAAAACGGGTTATAGATCGGTTCGCAGAGATTTTCTTGGGAAGCCTTGAAGAAGATAGCATTAAAATATGATTCCTTTCGTAAATTATAACATCAACTAATACCAAGAATTCAAATTATGGCTGACTTATATGATACCTATCGAAATGGCTTGCATTTACAATACTTACAAGGAGGAAGTTACACAAAAAATATATTGTAAAAAAAAAAAATCAAAATTACTCAATGACAAAAGGAAAAATATAATATTGCAGCATTAATGCCATTGTAATTGTAGTTATGGTTGACAACAATCTATTATCAAGACGAAACAGTCATGGACAGACCAGTTATGTTCTTGATGAATTGATGGGAAAGAATGGATTTTGATATGGGATTAAGAAAGTGAATAACGGCGAGAAACATTTAAAGATTACTTGCGATAATGAAATAAAAATAATATGATTTGGGTTTATTTTATATCTAGTAATTTTGCGATTTGAATTAATTAAAAAAAACTCTGTCGAAAAACAAGCGTGGACTACATGAATCATGTTGTAGATGGTGTGATCTAGTGCTGTTGTATTGAATAAAACTCAATGTTATGATGATGCTCTCAATATTTTGATATTAAGCCTGGTTTGAAAAGATGTTAGATGGCATTTGATATTTTCTTTTTTGGAGCTTTAATCCTGGCGTTGACTAAAAGAATAGAAATTTCTAAAATTACAAAGTTAAAACCTTATCACTTATTGATCTCAAATGTCAAGAATAATATTCATCCCTTTGTGAGAGATGAATTTAAAAGTATAACTTGATTGAAATCAGCACAAAATCTTGACAACTTACTTGAGATGGGCTGTAAATCTTAATTCATTAATGTATTATTTCTCTTCTATTTTGTGTGGTTTTGTGTTAATACCCTTTTTTATTGGTTATGATTTTTTGTAAATTTTACAAGTAAATTTCCTCTTTCCTTGGATGATTTTCAAGTGCCCGAGTATCAATTGATTTAAAAATATATGTATTTTCTCGTCCTGTGCTTTTTTAGAATACTTTTAATAGTAAACCAGTATAATCGTATACATCGTTTAATTGACGAAGGAGTGAACGTTATATAATTAGGAAAAATGTCACGAAAAAGACTAATCGAGTACTTTTGCATAAAAATTTGTATTATACTTTTGTTCCACCACATTATTATTCTTGTATAATAAAACTCAAAGATTAATAAATTTTTTTTCGTTTATTTTGACAGAAAAAAGGTTTAAAATGGATTCGAAGGTTTTGGTCATATAAACTTAAACTTTAAAATAAATCACATGATTGTTCTTTGTATTCATATGTCGATCATCCATATATAAGTAAAATTCATACAAAAAATATTAATATGTTGATGAATGAGAAAATGTTTGCTTGATTTCTGGCCCCCTAGTTGTTAAGGAAAACTCAAAATACAGGACATTGCGAGGATGAAATGGTTTCTCTCAAGTACTCAATATTTAACCAAAAAGGACGTACAGATGAAGAATGACTTGCAGGAGACATAGGAAAGTTTTCGTAAGGAAAAGAAATCTCATCACCACATTGACGAATGATTAGAAGCTAATAAAATCATCGCAATGGAAGGTAGCCGTGTTTTAAAATTAGAAACATGACCGATCCCAAATTTGTTGTAATGCTGATGACGGTGACCTGGGTTCGGTATGATGTTGAACCTAAAAATAAGCGGAATCTTGGATAGAATATTTTATATATGAACTAATTATACTAGACCCTTAACCCATCATCACTTTCTCCCCACTAAGAAGTATGCTGTTTTGAGAATCTGATAAACTGTTGAAAAAAATAGTTAATATCATTATTCCATATAACAAACATTTAATTAAAAGAAATCAACTTACTACCTAAAACAAAATCCTGTCAAAAGAATAATTGGATTACTCATTCATTCTATATGTATAATTAAAAAATTGGAATAATAATAACTATATATATATATATTTATTTATTATGTTAAACAATTTTTGATACCTGAAAATTACTTTGTCCATTCATATTAAAAATTTATTTGTGTCATTTGCGTCACAATAATAAAAAAACCTGGTTTTTAAAAAAAGTTACTAATTCTGAATTCCAAACAGATTATACACAAAAAAAGAAAAATAAAAAATTCTTTTTTTTTTTTTTTTTGTAGATATTTTAACAATAAAATAACTGCTTTTATAACTTTTATTTTTTAATTTTTAAATATATCAATAAACAAATATTTTAAAAATGTATAATAATAATCAAAACTATAACTATAATAATCAACAACAACAACAGCAGCAACAACAACAACAACCTCCATTTCCACCTCCACCTCCTTTGCAGCAATCATTCCAAAATGACCAACAACTAAATTATCCTCCTCCGATTGATAATAATGCCCCGACTAATAATTATCAACAACCTCCACCACCTCAACAACCGTATCAATACGAACAACAACAACCTGTATCAACGAACTTTCAATATCAATATCAATATCAAAATCCAGTTCCTCTTACCAATAATGCTTATGCCCCACAACCACAACCACAACCACAACCATTACAATCACAGCCCTTACAGCCACAACCATTAAAACCACAACCCTTACAACCACAACCCTTACAACCACAACCCTTACAACCACAACCCTTGCAACCACAACCCTTACAACCACAACCCTTACAACCACAGCCCTTACAACCACAACCACAACCACAACCATTACAACCACAACCACAACCACAACCACAACCATTACAACCACAACCACAACCATTACAACCACAACCATTACAACCACAGCCCTTACAACCACAACCATTACAACCACAACCACAACCATTACAACCACAACCACAACCACAAACATTACAAAATGTTTCTGCTCCTACTCCTCCACTTCTCACCACCGCCACTAATAACTCTTCAACTTCTCCTTCAAAAACATCAAGTCCTCCTATTCCACCCCCTCTTCATTTAGATCCACAATATTTACATAAGAAATCATCATCATCGCCGTCGCCGTCTCCATCCCCAACATCTCCAGCACATTTCACATCACCACCACCACAATCACAACAACCGCCACCACAGGCACCATCAACTTCATTATATCAAGGAAAGGCAAATATGAGTAATCAAGAACACCAGGGGCAAGGAAACCCTCAACCATTAGCATTTACCACGCCATCGAATCCATCATTTGAAGCAAATTATTATCCAAATATTGGTAATGATAATATCAATAACAATAATAATTCACCGTCAAGGAATTTGAATCCTTACCTTACACAGCCTTACCCAAGACCATCGGCTTTATCAAATTCTCCACCATATCCAAATAATAATTATAGTAATAGCCACACTAATAATGATAATTATTATAACAGTAGTAGGAATGATAATTATAATAATAATTATTATAAAAATAGTAGGAATGATAATTATAATTATAATAATAATAATCAATATTCACCCAACTATCCAACTATTCCTCCAAGTAGTACACCACCATTAACGACAAAATCAAATCAAAAACCACTTCCTTATAACGCGTCGTCATCATCATACTCTGATTCTTCTTACTCGCATAGTCATAAGAAAAACAGTTCACATTACGGTAGTGATGGAATTACGCCATTATATTCTACAAAATCGGAAGATTCAAATGGTAAATATAAACCAAAACCACCAAATCCTTCGTCGTACCGACCACCACCACAAAATAATAATAATAATAATAATAATAATAATAATAATAATAATCGTAGTAATGATCACGATGTTAGTAATGATTATAATGATGACCGTGGAAGTGGCCATAAGAAAAAGAAAAGAAGACGTAGGGATGAATGCGATTTCTCTGATTGTTGTACAGTATGTGGTTGTATCAGATGTACATGTACCTTGTGTATAATAGTTTTGGCTATCATATTTATTCTCATTGGATTGGCTGCGTTTGGTTTTGCAAAAACTATACCAGGAAAATGTCAAAATATTTGTGATCCAAATATATCAATCAATAATACTAATCCTAATGTTATTACTCCAAACTCCTCCAATAATCTTAATTTAGCGTCGTCAGCTAATAATGACGAGAGTAATTTTAGTTTTAGTGATAACGCTTTGACGGATTCTGCGACAAACGCTGCGAATGATGCAATAGATAACGGTAAAGATAAGTGTAATACAATTTGTAAAAAAGGGGTTTTTGACGCGTTATATTATGGCGGTATCGGATTTATTGCTCTTGGTGGATTCATGCTTGCTATACAAGTATTTTGTATGCTGTGTAGGATTGGTTCGAGTGGAGGTAAAGGATCTGGTTGTTGTTATTGTTGCTAAAGAGAATGAGAAATAAAAAGACTTATGTGCAGGACATATATATATTAATAAATCAAAAAATTTTTTTTGTATATTTTTTCATTTCATTAATAATTTTAAAAATTTATTTTATTTATTATTTAATATTGATTTTATTTTATTTAAAATATTGATTATAAGATATGTAAAAGAAATAAAAAAAAAAGGTCTTCAATACTAGCAAGTGCTCGATTTGTTCCGAGCACATCGCCATCAATTTTGACATCATGATAATCTATTGTTGGAAATCATGGCGTCAATCACGTGATGATGATTAAAAAGATAGTAATAGGTGAAGGTGATTTTTGTAATTACAGTCAACCTCCCTTATAGTCACGCCTTTCTGGACAGATAAAACTGTGATTATAAAATAAATGTGCATATAATACTAATATTGACGGAATTTTTTACCTCAAAGTTGAGGTAACTATATGGTGTCGGTTGTATAGAAAGCCAATTGGAAAAAATATAGGAAGGACTATAAACATTAAATTAAAAAATATTTCTGATGAATTTTCTATATGTACATGTATGTTTTTGAGTCAAGAATTATTTTAGTTTTTGGCAAAAATGGCATAATTCAAATTTATGGATTCAATTGCAAATGAATATCTATTTATTCATTATATGAAGAAGAATGGTAATTTTCAAAATATTTGATTCTTTATCAGGCTTAAAAGATATTAATATTCGTAACAAACAAATCTTCATAGTGTGTTGCCGAACCATTTCACATGCAAAATTCTATATAGCTTATGGGTGATCTAGATGATTTTTGGCAAATTGCAGTTAACATTTTAATTATTTCTATTTTTAAAATTTAAATCAACAGTAATATGATAGAATTCAATAAATGATCATCGTTGAATCAGAAATGCCGAAATTAGTTTTCATAATAATAATAATCATAATAATAAACGTACATTTTTCACCCAATCCAAGGATCTACATTCTCAAAACATGAGGTTCACTTTTATCAATATCATGTGTGACATTTTCGTTCTTGTTATCAAGTAGGTCCGACGTATTACTGGCAGAAATAAATTTTTTTTTCTTTAATTCAAATATATTTCTTTTTATCAGGCAGGTATCGGTAGATACCTACTTGATAACAAGAACTTATTAAACAATAAACTGATTGTATCACATGATTATAATATAAAGTTGCAAAAATAAGTTTGTTTATTTCTGCCAGTGATTACATAGGACCTGCCTGATAAACCAAAAATCCGTGAAAAACTTTTTATAGCAAAAAATTTCTCATATAGCAAATATTTGCCCACACATCATGTCAAATTTGGAAATTTATAATGTCACAACTAATCATTGAGCATTGCATGCTGAAAATCCCATAGACCTATATTGAAGTTATTAGGTACTCTGGGAGGAACACCAGGAACATCATTGAAAAGTAAGGTATGGTGACATTCTGGTAGATTAGTAGCATCGCAAGGACCTGTCCAAACTTAACTCCAGTAATTCTATTCATCAGGAAATCATTTCCGCCATAATATTATGCTCGTAAGCTCTATATAATTTTGTAAATTTTTACGCAAAGGCTAACATTTGAATGTAATAATTGCGAGCAATATTACGGAGCTGTAAACACATGTAAATAGTATGATATTTGCGTTAGGAAAAGTTTTTTCATGTATTAGCTGGAACACATGCATTATTTTGAAGATAATTTGCGTGATGACATGAATAGGTGTTGTCCCAAAAAAACTTGCAATGAAAGACATGGCTGTATTTCGACTGTTACATAAGTAAAATAGCGCGGGCAGTGCAATCCTATAAAATTTTTTTTCAGAAAATGTATTAGTATGGGTTTTCCATACATTTTCCATGAATTTTGTATGGAATATGTACGGAATTATACATTAAAAGAGCACTTTTCCGTACATATCATATTTGTACTGAAAATGTCCTGAAAATACATTCCGTACATTTTCCTGTGCATTTTCTGCACATTTTCCATAAATTCGTATGGATGTTAAGCACGGAAAATGTACAGAAAATGCATAGTAATATTAATAGTAATAGGAAAATGTACGGAATGTAATTTTTCAGGCCATTTTCTGAAAATTCCATACATATTCCATGAATTTTCCATGTTAATGTACTTTCCATACATTTTCATTTTCAGGGCAAATATGTATGGAAAACAATTATTGGTAATAATAATGGTAACTATTAATATTTAATCATTGACTATTTTCATTTTTATTAAATTAACAATATTTATTAATATCCACTCTTGTGATAAATATTTGTAGCTATACCAGATAACTTATTTGAATAAGTTAAATCCTGTCACTTATTATGTATTATTTATTTATTTTTATTTAACTGGCTATATACTATGGTTTAAATGTCTTGAGTAATGATATCATATAATAACTTGTTTGGATTTTTTTTTTTCATTTTGAAATTCAGATGTCAAATATGCACACCAAATAAAAAATAATAATTTTGACAAAAAAATAAATGTAATTTTTAATAATCGTTATCATACATACTTAATTGCAGTATTGTTTGTCTCTTACCTTTTCAAATCAATGGTTTCATTTTTTAATAGTATTGACAAATTGAATTATCAATATATCATATAATATATATAATATATATAATATATAAATGATTTATTAATATTAAAAATCTTAAAATTTAATACATGTATCTGAATAATTTAAATATAATAAAAATTATACCTAAAT